CTGAGCCGCCGTTATATCGCAGCGAGTATGTCCTGTTACGCGATCGGTGAACGTTCCTCTTCGTAAAATGACACGGAATTTCTCTACTCGGGGCCTCGGCGGCGCTGGGTTGTCAAAGATGTTTGATCTCAAGGCGTCTTGCACATGCTATTGTAGGTGCAGATGAGAGGTGAACGAAAATGTGGTCAGACTCATGTGCATAACCACACATCGATGTCCTGTCGTGAATCCAACTGCGGCACCTTAACCAACTTGAATGTAGTCGATCTGACTGGTGATATAGGCGTCGTTTGAATGTCAGATCAGCAGATGTTTGTGGCAGTGCTGGGAGCATGTGTTGGTTACAAACAGTTGGTCCTGCTCAGCATTCTTTCATCATTTTCATGTTGAGAGTCAGGCTCAAAACGCCCAATGTGTTACTGTTAGGAGAGTCGCTAGGTCGATTCTGGGCATTTCAGTCTCCGGAAACCAGCATATCTCGGAGGGGGGTGTCAAAAAACGCTTGCACTTACGGGTGGAAGTCCTCTTTATCGCGCAGTTCGGCAACTGATATTGATGCGTACACAGAGATGACTGATGTTCGTAAAGTGACCCTGAAGTCTCACGTAGACCATCTAGTCCCTTACGGGTTTCCATTTAAGTATTATACTGTTCGCTTTTTGCGAGAGGGTGATCGCCCCCTAATGGCATTGTCGCTGCACTTCCATGACAGCTTATTCGTGAGGTTGTAATATGTGCCTACTTTGCATCTATTGTTCACCAAGGGCTGTGCCATTATTCATCACCTGTGGACGCGCAGATGAGCCAGCGACTATGTGACTGTTTGTGCTATCTTGATTGGGACTATCCTTATAATCAGTCAGACCATCAACTCGACATTTTTTGTTGATGCTTCATGCTTTTTCGTGAATTGAACGAAGTCACTCATCCTTTTTAATCTCAGGCTGCCATCTAAACCTTTTTTCTAGCCTAGTTATTTTGTTTCATCCTGTGCTTGAGGTGGAAACCTAAATAATGATGGAAAACCTCTGCGACACGCCGTCCTAATTTTTTCACTGCTTTCTATGCTGCATTACGAGCTATAGCCTAAGTTACAGCCGCATCGTATCGATCTCTTTTCCATTGACTGTCGCCGCTTATTTTTGAAAGCAAAGTAGGTATTATTGGGTGTTCGTTTTTATTTTGTTCCAGTCTAATTTCAAAAATGGACCACAATTTCCTCTTCCAAATCGTTTTTTTGTGAATTTCGTTTAGCCCAAATCGATGACCGATCGACAACTTGTGAAAAAGGCAGATTCGGAGGCAATTTCACTTCCTGGGGTGTCTCAGAAAATTTTACTTACACGCGATATTATCGAAGAAGCTTGCACTATCAGTGATCTCTTTGACTTTAACGAATTAGCAGCTGTAGAACTGCTGCTGTCAGGTTTGCTTCTTCCTACTACTTCAAACTTCCTTAAATAGCTGAAGGCCAGCTGCCCTCGTATCCAAATCTTACTCGCGGATTGGTGGCTATTATCTTGTACTACGATGGCCAGCGTGCAATAGCGGAGTCTCTGCGGACAATTTTCCAGTCTCGAAACGGCCGCATGTGGTCTGTTCGTTTGTCAAAGGAGACCGCCACCCTGGTTGAGTCTTTTACAAATGACCTGCTTGCGTCTGGTTTAGTTAGCAATATTCTGAGTAAGTTGTTTTTATTCCTTTGCTTCCTCTCCTCACAATCTTAGCATTGGTTGCTGTCTATAACCTGTAGCCCAAGTTGTTGCGTAATATTGTTGCTTATATGGCACTATTATTAACTGATCTGTATAATCGACGCACTTACCTCACGATACCACAATTGAGGCAATAAAAACAGTAAACTCTTACCGGCTGCTTTCTTTCAGAGTAAAGTGGTGTATGCAATTTACGATTACCTCACGGTAGGAAAACAACCCAATTTGCGTCCTTCTCTGAACAAAGTGATATATCGCCGGTCGCTTCGCGGCCCATAAATTTGCATTTTTATGGTCGCTCCTGTCTTATGTGGAGTTTTTATTAGTATGACGGGAACAAATCGGTTGGCTATGTGCCTATTCTCAGGTGAATATGCTAGTGATAAATCAAAATAGGGCAGCATTACTGTTTCTGGCTTATTTGTTGTACTTAGCCATTCATGTTCGGCCACAGACGTTAATGACCCAAGGATATCTTTTGCCAACGGATCAAATCACTGAATTGCGAGTCCCTCGCTCTATCGGTTACGATCGAGAATGTTATTGCCAGAAATAGCTTTTACAGTCCCCCGCTTTGTCGGTAACAGTTCTCGGCTGCTTTTTGCCCGTAGTTATATGATTATCTGGCACGGAACCCCTGGCTAAATGACAAAATGTTGGACTTAACGCTCGATAGCGCAAAGACTCCGGGCCAGCGTGCCAGATCCTTAAAACCCAAAGTGAGGTGTAGCTGGCTGGTTGGCTAACGACGATTGGTAGGCTAGCAATTGTCATTACTGTCTCCCTAGTCTTTTTTGGTCGTTCCTCGTGTATAATGCCCGATAGTTATTCAGCTGACCGCAAGAGCTCTAGATTGAGCCTCAAGACATAACGGAATGAACTTTTCCTGTCATCTGATAAAAGAACGACCCTTGCTTTGTCGCGCATGCGATGAATGAACTGTCGCGTCGGCCGATACTTTCGGTTTGCGTACTCCCTCTGTGTTAGTCACCAGTCCCACATATTTTTGGCGATGTCATCGCCGATGTTAATTATTAGTCCCGATTTCCATTGCTAGGTCCTGCAGTTTCACTCTCTTTTCCTTAGCTTGCATCCTTACCCTAGACAAACCACTTTCGTTACGGCGTGTGACAGCTGAGTATTGGACTAGGCGGCAGTTTTACCTCACGGCTGAGCTCCTCACCATCGTTGTCGTCTTCATTTCAGAATTTCTTACCTCCTTCGACGTCAGCACTGAAGTCTCCCACTTAGAGGGTGTCAATGCTATTGGTAATCCAAAGCACCAGAGAGATGTACTTCGTCTTATCGTTGGCATCAGAAATTGCCTAGCGGAGTGTATTCTCCTCCTAGCTGCCCAGACGCCTCTGGATTTTGCGTCCACCAGATTGATCTTGAACCACCTAACTTCTGCTTTGACCAAGCAGTATGCCAACAATGCAGACAACCCTCAGTCGGCCCAAGCACTTCAACTCCGATCATCACCTCCCCTCGACCATGCCAGCGTGCACTTGGTTTTCGCCCTTCTTTATTGCTTTGAACCTTTTGGAGATCCAGGTGTAGAGGTCGACCAGCTGTCGGACGCGACCGAGCAAGGTTCGTTTTTGGACACAAGCCCTTCTCTTTTCTCCTGTCCTGCGCATGTAAACCCATGCCAATCATTTTTTTCCGCGGCTGAAGACCACCTTTGTATAGATTTATTGTTATCTGCAACAGCTAGTGGGCACTGACACGCCTTGCTTCAGACCTTTGCGTGCATGAAACTTTCCTCCTAACTTGTGTGTGTTTCTTAAAATCGTTTGGCGCTCTTTGGGTAAAGTTGCTTCTGAATAGTGCATCACTTCTTCACGGCACCCGACTGACTATTCGACCTGGAGTTTAATTTCCGCTCTTCGTCTATCCTGACGTAAAGGTCGATTTTCTAATTAAAGCTCTTTCCTGTCTATCTGGGGGAAGTGTTGGGATCTTTAGGCAGGCGTTTCTTCCTTAGCATCCTAGAACCGAAAAAAAGGTCTTATCGGTTCTCTTCCGACTGCGTTACTATATTGGCCTTCGTAGCTTATGGTGCATATTAAAAAGCCATAATTGTATTATTGGGTCATATTCTACGTAGTGTTGAATAAGTAGCATGTCCTATTTGCTATAGATTCCCCTTGAAAGAGAGTCCCTGCAATTTTAAACGAATGCCCGAACTAGTATTTGTCTAACTCATAACAACATTGCAATGATCCGCGCAATCACCGATTAGGCTACTTGGTTGAGCACTGTCATTTTTATAGTCGGACAGAAGCGTTGGAAAACTAGTACCACCTTCAGGCTTACATGTTTCGTGACGTTAATGGCAACGAGGATGCTGCATTTGTTGGATATTCTTCCTACCCCCAAGGCAATTTTACAAGATAAAGGTCTACCACCACATCCGCGCTCTCACAATGCATTACTTGCCTTACAGATCTGAAGCACCCCCTGTTCGCGGACTCCCAATACGTAGCCATGGTAACGAGGCTGCTTACTGCGTCCGATACTGCATCTAGTGATCTTCAAGCGACTGAAGGTCTTTTCGGTCTACTTCAACTCTCCTGGGCTGTGTGCCTGCGTCGTGTGAGCCATTTGCGGATGGAATTGCGGCGTCACCGGCAATCCGACGATTCTGCGGCGTCTCCAAACAGCGAGACAGTGGATGACGACGTTCTCCTCAACACCGCACTTGAGTCTGACGCGATTGAATTTCTCTCATCTAAAGTAGTCCGTAATCCCGACTTCCATCGTGAGGTAGGATTTCCTTTTCCTGAAAATGATCAGACAATTTCGCCTGCCTGTGTTCATTTTTTTTTCTACGGATTTTGTTTCCAGTCCTTTCCTCCTTAACAGCCAACCGTCTACCGTATTACTTTTTTTAGAACTTGTGGATCCGCCGTGTGCATGGTCTGATTACTGATACCCTTGTCCATTTTCCACAAAACGTACGTGGAATTCGCCTGAGAGATGAAGCGATGGCTCGACGTACAGGCCGCGACCCTTCAGCCATAGGCACCGGTTTCGCAGCCTTACTCAATCTTCTCTCGCAGGTGTACAATGTGCTTGGTTCACCGCTGCACGCTCGTCTTAGTTTGGAGTACTGGTGGTCAGCTGGTGAGACAGCTAACAGGCCTGCCTCTCCAGGCTCCTCTTTCATTCCCGCTCACGAGAACCTCCTGCGGGTGAAAAGCTTCCGAGCTGATGATGGCGAAAGTTCAAGACAGGTCGGTATTGCATGCTTCGAACTTGGACTACGTCTTTCTCCGTTTTTTTTTTTAAAGTTGAGTGCATGATTTAGGGCTGCTGGAGTGCCGACATTAATCTCCTGTCTACATGATCCCCTTGTAGGCCATGCTCTTCCGTTTTGTTTATTCGGCCAGCGAATTCGCCTCGTCACCCTCTCTATTCGTGCCTTATGTGAAAATGCTCCGCTCCCTGGTCGGTTGTCAGAGCTCAGCTAACCTCTGCTTCAATCTCCTCAAAACGACGGTTACCACGGGCGGTAAGAGCATTTTGCATTTCTGTGTTCTTTTTATTACCTACCGAAACCATCTACTCTACACCCTTTTG